AGGTATTCCATAATTCTCATAATTATCAAACTCGCGCGACCTTCAGCATGACGGATTGCGATTTTTGGAATTAGTCAACAGTGGGGGGATTGAAGTGAAGGTTAAGGTTTCTAGAAGATGGCTGTGGGTGTTCTCGAGGAGCGAATGGTGGCTACTGCTCTCAGCATTTTCAGGAGGAAGCTGTACTGTCTAATTTAAACAACTGCCTGGAACCATCCAGTGGAGAACTCGACCTGGTTATATTGGCATCCATCCAAGTGTTCACCAGGATCAACATCATTGGCAAAAAAAGAAAGCGAAATGCAAGATGCAGTTTCCTTTACCTAAACTGTCCTATGTGCAAAGAAATGTTCTTAAACCTTTATGGGATAAGCTATTCATGTTTTCGCATATTAAAAGAACATTACGAAGAACACGGAATATGTCAAAGGGTCCATGGAAACAGCAAAATATTACCTCACAACACTTTGCCACAAGCTGTAACTGCAAATTTCCGCACATTATTACGAAGAGACAGATTCAGGTCTGTGATGGAAAACAATTATTGCCGGTTCTATTCTGTTAAAAGCTTTTGGTGTCCATTTCTAAGTTTTGTCAAGTTTTGAAAGCAGAAATGAAGAAGTGTGTAATAAGAATTAAAGCTATAGACCTACGAAAGGGGAGCAAAAACTTGTCCTTTATCAAAACATAAAGATCTCTGGCATTTTCACCATTTGTTCAAGATGAACCCTTTTCTTCGGCCCTTCTAATGCCTGGAATAATATGTTCCAAATATTTCTCTAGCCATTCGAATGGGTGGCATCATTCATTCAAAATTTTTTGTCAGCCGTTTGAATGGCTGGCATCATCCGTTTGAAATTTTTCGTTAGCTCTTTGAACAGCTGGCATCACCCATTCAAAATTTTTTGTTTGCTGTTCAAATGGCTGGCGTCATCCATTTGAAATTTTTCCAGTGCCGTTCGAATGTTAATAGCATCTGTTCAAAATTTTTCTTTGGCTGTTTGAATGGTACTTAAAACCATTGTGAACGGCTAGAACATCTGTTTGCTATCCGTTTGTTAGCCGTTCGTTTTGACCGTTTAACAGATATCCATTAGTGAAGTTTTCTCGTGAGAAGTCACATATGATCTGGAGCCCCGTTCTGTGCATTTGTAGTAAAGCGATCAATTAATAAGTTTGCAACATGTTTAGGAAAACTGTTCCACAATAAAAACTTTCTTATTAGCTTGAACTCCGTTTTAATATTGTTGGGAGTGCAGATTCGGTGTACGCAGTCAGTCAGTGCTCTAACCCAAGAAATCTTGTGTCGCCAAGGGACAAAACCTTCAAAATTAGTGTACTGTGTGGTAAAAGTATCTTTTCCATAGATGCCAAGGCCATCACTAGTGATGTTGATGTCCAGAAAGTGCAGAGTGGTAATTTGTGAAGCATCTCTTCCTCCAGTTTCTCATCCCATTCTTTCTCTGAGGCCCACAATAATTCTTGAAGGAAGAGTTTTCCTTGAAGAGTTGCAGGAGTAAAGAATCCCAATGGGTTGAAAACTGCAGTGATGGAATTTAGCACTTCTCTTTTAAGGAATATTCTGTTGGTGCAGGATCTTTGACAAGCAGTTGACTTTGACAGTGTTCCACAGTATTCCAAGGACTATGGTTAGAGTTTCCTTTACTCTGTCCTGCTCTGGAATTGACTTCAGAATTTCCTTTGAGTTCAACCCCCATTCTCTTAGATTCATGGATGCACGTTGAACTGCTTCCTTTGATTCTGAATAAAATGCTTTTGTTTCTTTACCCGAGTTGACACCAGTCAAAAGATTGTCCACATACAAGCATTTCATAATCTTCTTAGATTAAGTAGGAGTTCCAACTTGTTCCAAGTTCTGTAGACTGATGGCTCCAAGCAGAAAGGGACTTGAGATCACTCCAAATGGGGCCCTTGTAAAGCGATAAATTTGGCTTAGTGGAATCTTTGAGTCACAGGAATCTAGTGACGTCTCGATCTGCAGACTGGAGGCCTACTTGCAGGAGGGCCTTTTCAATGCCGGCTGTTAAGGAAACTTTGTGAGTCCTTAATCGTATGAAAAGGCCACTATTCCACTTTTTGCAGTGGAAGAGTAAATTTAAAGTAAAATGTAAATGTGATTTTATCCTTGGTGATATTAACCTTGCTCTACTACCACCTGTCGCTGAGGATGATATAACATTTTACATTTCAACTCTAAATTTACAATTCCACAGCAAAAAGTTAAAGAAAAAGTTCAATGTTCGTTTGTTTTGGCCACGTTTTTGGTTCCTTAGTAGCCCTGCCTGAAGCTTAGGAATGGGGTTGAGTTCACTCTTTGTACGTTTTCGTCATTTGGGTTAGTTCATAACTGTTTTCACAGTGTTGTTTAGAGCACTGATATCTCTCGCTGTTCAAATTACTATCCAGTAGTTTCATGATGGTAATAAAAGTTGTTGGAATTTTGAAGTTTGTGTCTTCCTCTTTTCAGATAAAAACTATGATAACTTTTCTACTCCTTTAATTAGTGTTACATGGACATCAAGTGTTTCATTTACACCATTAGGTGGGTGCAATCCTAGTGCATTCATAACAGTCAGGGCAAATTCTTTGAACTCTTCACTACAATCTGCCAGGCACATGGTTGATTCATCAATGAATTCCTCAAGTTCTAACAGGTACTTTGTAGTCTTCAAAGTTGTATACAGTAGGTGGGGAAAAAAACACGGAGTCTGGTCTTCCTCTTGGGCTGCTGCTATTCCAAACATGCTTGAAGCTATAGGATGTTGGTCCAACATCTCAGCCACTTGATGAAGCTCATTTCTGAAAATTTGCATGAAACAAAACCGAATACATTCCAAGTGCACTAGGTCTGAGCTGATAAAGAAACCTAGGTCTGACAAATCTTTAAAAACGAAATCCACCAACCAGGACCATCCTTTACAAATTGTGACCAACAGGATTTCATTCTTTGATTTGCAGTAGATGTGCCAATAGTGAAACATCCCAGGCCACCATTTTCATCATTGTGGGATGACCTGAGGAATGTAGGAAGTGGCTCAATTGTGCTGTTTTCAGTCCCATCATCAGATCTAATTTTCCTGGGTACACAACCTAAATTGCTTCACAGCATCAAGGTTGTACTAAGCAATCACTTCTGGGTTCTTATTTGTGGGGCGCACCTCCAAGCACAGAAGTCTTCTTGAAAGCCTGTCGATACAGCCATGCACACTGAACCCAAAAGGCTTTAATTTGTCATGGCCATCAGTATGCCATATAAAATTTGGCCTTTTTGCATGATATGCTCTGCAACGTAATCTCTTCTTTTGCCTGCCTTCTACGCCATCAGGATCAAGTTCCCTGAGAAAACTCATGACCCTTGCTCTTTTGACAATAATTCCCTTAATTCTGAGCTGTGCCAACAGCTTGCTGTATCGCACAAAACAACCACTTCTACCAAGTTCCTTCTAGATGGCACTTCTCAATTCATCATCAGGGACAAAATTTCTTCTTAATAATCCTAAAGAGGTAAGCCTTCCCTTTAGAGTCGAGAAGCCAATGTTTATGCCATGGAGCTTCAAAATATTCAGGTATTTCAAGGTGGTTGTAGCCATGTTTGAAAAATGGAGATACAAACTCCAAGGAATCCATGTATACACTGGCAAAGGCACGTTCTACTTTGTAAATTCAGTTGCACACAAAATGGCTGTGTTAAAATTCCTGCCTTTTTATCAATCTGAGAGAGACTGGTGATGTCTCACAAAATTGAAACTGAACTGTGAAAAATTAAAAATGGACTGCGAAGAGAATAAAACTAGACTGCAAAAACTGGACTGTGGATAGAATAAAACTACAAAATTAAACTGGACTGTGAGAAATTAAAGCTGGACTGTAAAGAATTAAAACTGGATTGTGAAAAATTAAAACTCGACTGTGAGTCTTCTGGGCCATCATAATTGAACGGGTGAGTGCAAAACCATGCTAAGTGACAATTTTGGGTGAATTTTTTATCTCAAAAGTGCTTGGCCTTCAATGTAGTAGAAAAACATGGTCCTGTATTTTTGCCTCTGTTTTGGCTTCACTTTCAAGATACAATGTATGCAAAAAATACTCAACTTCAAACACAGTGAAATGTTGATTTCACGAAAATGCATAAGCTCAAAGATGTTGATTTTACTTCAAACACAGCAAAATGTTGATTTCACAAGAATGCATAAACTCAAAGATGTTGATTTCACAAGAACGTGTAAACTCAAGGATGTTGATTTCACGAGACTGCATAAGCTCAAAGATGTCGCTTTCACTTTAAACACAGGAAAACGTTGATTTCAAAAGAATGCAAAAACTCAAAGATGTTGATTTCATGAGAACGTATTAACTCAAAGTTGCTGATTTTACAAGAACGCCCAAGCTCAGATGTTGATTTCACTTCAAAAACACTAAAATGTTGAATTCAGGAGAACACATGAGCCCAAAGAGATGTTCATTTCACTTAAAGAAAACAGTTAAATGTTGATTTCATGGGAATGTGTAACCACAGAGATGCTCATTTCACTTAAAAAACACTTCTATCTTGATTTCATGTCAACGGGAAAGCTCAGAAATGTTGATCGCAATACATGCCGGGAAGGTTCTCTACAACTCACACCCAGGAAGCATGGATCTCGATGCAAGACATATTTTATCACACTAAAATCAGTTCTCGCTTTCCAAACTTTGACGACAGCAATGCTTCGCAAATGGGCCACAACTCATGAGAGGATTGCTTTCTTGGGCAAGACTTGTTCTTTGACTTTGCTGTCTGGATCAGGCTGACTTCAAACACCGATACATTGATTGTATCAGTTTGTTCAAACATCAGAAAGCACATTTTGGTTTTTTAAAAAAACATGCTGGTGACTTACGGGTTGTAGTGTATTGAGCCAGCGGTTGACATTATGAGCATGCGCACTTATGCGCATTCTGTTCCATGTGCTTCGATTGAAATAAACCAAANACGAAACAAGCATGACATCAAACCTCATTATACCAGTATTGCACAGAAGCGACCCCTGTCACAGGTTCCTACAAGATGTCCAGCAAACCTGTCAAATGATGTTCCAGCAGCAATTGCTCTAATACCACCACTGTCATCAATTCCAGAAGTGCATGAGCCACCGTTTTCAGTAAGCCCTTCAGCAGACACACCATCCACTATGGAAAAATCATCACTTGCTAATAGCAGTACGGAAAAGACAGAGCAGAAGATGACCAACAATGACATGACCAGAGCCGAACCAGTAGAATCAACACCAGTGCTGACAAGGTTGCGTTCTGGATGTGTTACCAAACCACCTAGAAATCCAGACTTTGTATATGACAGTGTTTAAATTTTAAGGACTGCGATATCTGGCTGATTAGGAACACCATGATGTTTTCAAGTTGATATTTAAAGACGATGTGCCATTGTTAGCATATTAATAGTTTGATTCTAAAATAATCTCAAAAGGGGACATGTTAGTCATTGTAGCCTGGGTTCTGATTGGACCATCAGTGACAGTTCATTGCTCATACATGAAGTACATAGATTAACCTCGCACTCGGGAGCCATGTACTGAACACAACCTAAGTTGAATTGTGTACCTATTATTCCATGGTTTCTTTGTTTTATGTTTGCTTGCTGCACTGAATTAAACACAACTAAAACAAACACAATATGACTAGGTCTAGCAATGACTAGGCACAACAAAGGTAGCAATGGCCACCTTTACTTGAAAACAGTCACACGAAATACTAGTATCCAGTGTACTTATTAGACTACTCATGCTCACAAAGATCTGTCACATGACATCATATTTGCAAACCTTCAAGATATGCACCGACTATATGGGATTATGCAATATTGCATTATCCCACAAAAACGTACTCTGTCGACCGTGTAGAAATGATCCACGAATAGGAAACATTGCCACTGAGATAAATCAGTTGGTGAATACATATTTACTGACTTGGGTGCAAACGACTGCGAACATTTTATATACTGGTCAGCGGATTTAGAAAAAGTTAACAGGAATCGAAGGAAGGAAGGTGTGCCATGTTCGATCTATACCTACATCTCGGATTAATGACTATGTCATTATCTGAGTTGTATCCGAGTTGTAAGGATGGTATATGTTAAGATTGGTAGTAAAACAGTGAGAAAGACATATTCAATCACTAACAAAAACTGGCTGGAAAAAGATTTCCAGTTCCAGCAAGAGAACAAATGACTTTCCACATGCCAGTTAGATGCTCCATCAATGTGCTACACTCTAATAAATACTTATGGCAGCTGGGCTCATTAGTTATGAAGTACTCCTATTTTTTTTCAAATATCAATTACCTTTACTAAACATTCTGTATGATGCTCCACTTTCACTGCTAATGTAAACAGTTGGCTTTTTAATTTTTCTTCAAGTTTCTCAAATATCCAAGAATCTGCACTGTTGCTTGATGTATCCTGCTCAACTATAGCTTTACTACTCAAGCTGGTGTGCTTCTCAGAAGGTAAGCGAGAGACAATAAATTCAAGAACAGCCAATCGCACTTCACGTTCTGAGGACTGCAATAGAGCTTGGATCACCTCAAAACAATTCACAGTGGTTTCCAAAATTTCTTTGGAACCCTGGAAATCAGATGGAATCTGTTTGAAAATTGTTAGATGGGATTGGCTGGTTAGGGAAGATGGCAAGTCTTCACAAGCTCTGAGAAAAGACTTTGCTAGTGTTCTTTTGAGAAACACATCTCCAATGAGATTAGAAGGTTCTTGTTTGGTAATAATTTCTTGAATTGTAACACTGTTAAACCACTGCTTCAGGGCGTGCAAACCACTCTTTGCCACATCAGGCATATCTGAAAGAAAGAAACATTACACTGTTAACCATTTAAGTCATTCCTTGCTTTAATGACTATACAGCACTGTTCCAAGTATAGCCCTTTGTTTTCTTCAAAACACACAGAGGATGCTGTTTTTTTGCTGCTCAAGATAAATACAAGAAAGTTAAATATCTATTCAAAATATGGGGATTTCCCAACTGGAATTTTCCTTGGTTTTTAAGCCCTTGTAAGTGACCACTCAGAGTCTTTAGCATATAAATCAACACTTGAATGAAACTGCACACTGTGCTAATGGTTCTTGACCAGTTAAAAATTGAACGTAAAGTTTAGCCATGTCTATATCAGATATAAAGACACTCATGAAACAAGAATTTCTTTTGTTTATTAATGAGTTTCTGAAGCTCTCGTCAGCGACCACCCTCTATTGCTTTACCATGCAGTTGCTTATAAGAACTCATTCTTGTAGGCGACCAGCTCTAATTACGATCACTTTTTCCAATTTCCGTGGTGGTAGCTTAGTAGAGCTTCGACTGTAGTTGTTAACTTCTTCTAGTTTGTCACATTTTCTTTCTCTGGAAAAAAACAACAGTAACTGTATCCTATATAACAATGATACATAATTTCTCCTCAGTTCAAAGAGAGGAAAGGATTAGGAATCTGGTAAACAAGATCAGAAAAAGTGGAAGCAAGGATGGGATACAGAAATCTCATGTGGCTTGTGTCCAAGTGGCAAAGAAAACAGTGAAGCAACGAAAGATGTTTTCTTCCCCGAAGAAGTGTCAAAGTTTGGTGCCATAGACGATATGTGTTTACTTTGGGTAACTACGCACAGGAAAGGATAACAGTATTTACCGACACTGATGGAAAAACATGTCCTTTTCAAGAGTATCTAAAATCCCAGGGCCTTTATGCAAGCAGATTTCATGTTTACTTGATGTCGACATCCACAGGAAACGAAGCGGAAAGGTCACAGATTGGCGATTCCCAAGATGAAGTGTGCAGAAATCTGTCAGGAAATGTGAATATTTTGCTTTTGCAAATACTTTCATGTCAGCTCTAATCAAATTGAACCTGTTTGATATTTTCATGACTCAATGTGCAACTATGGCAAACTTTACATTTCTTGCTGCCTTTCACCCCCAGTTGGTCATGGAGTCCAAAAAATAATTGTCATGTCATTTGGGCCAATAAAAATTCAAAGTGTGGTTCTGATAGTGTGGACTGTGCTTGAGAAACTGATAATTCAAACTGTGCCACCAAATATTCAAAGTTTATTTCTAAAAATATGACATAGCCTGTAATAGGTCTAATAGCAATTACAAAATACTCCATAGGTTTTCAGAGAACTTTAATTGGGCATTTGGTACAATTCAAACAACAGACGGTTTGTGTTTTTCTTCAGAGTGGGTGGGAATCTGGTTTCTTTTGCCAGAATTATTGCTTATTTTTACCAAAATTCATCAAATTCATCAAATCTTTGTTTGCATTACTTTTGAAAAGTACTGTTTTGTGGGGTCTAAAAGTACTTTACAGTCTGCAAGAAGAGTATCACTTAGCTCAGGAGCGTGGAGATGTCTGAAAGGATGTAAATAATATATGATTAAGAGCGCATGTCATGCCTACTCAATTAAATCAATACCTGCAAATTCAAGCCATTGCCAGTCCAGAACAAATTGGAAAACAATGTCCAAGAAAACTGATCGTGACAGTGCACAGGGGTTGGACCTGCGAATGACAGCATATGTAAACAGAAAAACAAAGTAAAATTCAACTGGAAATTTAGCAACACATTTGTCTTTTCTCTTGCACTGAGGTACAAATTAAGAATTAAATTTTGTACTCCTATAGTTACTACACTATTATCCCGCACCGAAGAGAGAATTAAGAATTAAATTTTGTACTCCTAGTTACTACACTATTATCCTGTTTAAGTAAAATTTCCAGAGGTGAATTAAAGAATCAGATGGTTCTGATTTTTGGTTTAAAGTGTTGATTAGTTAGGGCACATAACTGTTATCAATGTTTATTTGGATCAAAAGGAAATTGAAAATGTGGTGGGAGGATGCCATATTAACAAATAGAAACTGAAATGTTATGGTAATTGTCTTGTTGTCCAATTTAAAACTGTGAAGTATAGTTTAAAAGTGATGTATAGTTTAAAAGGTAAAATAAATAGTAACACAGGTCATGTGACACATTTTTTCTTTTAATATCTTCTGAAAAGAATAAATTTGAAAATTTTGGGCAAAGATAGTAACTTTGAACAAATGCAAAGAATAACTGGTATCCTATACTTCACTTAAGTTAACCATTCTCACCCCATATCTCATTGAGCCAGGTACTCAAGCCCAGGATCATTCTACTGTAACCAAGATCATTGAAGGGGTCCATGTTTGTAAATCTCCTGGAAGTACCTAGCCACCCTAGTTGAATCTCTTAAGGTAAGCTGGTAGGTTTCTTTTGAGGGTCACAGGTCACGCCCAGCAAACAAAAAATATGCCAAAATGTCATAAAGCTCAATTAAACAGATGAACAGAAGTGTGCCCCAAGTGTTACTATAACAGCTCTTTTCCGGGAAAATTTTTTTGAAGACAACCGTGGCCTTGGAGCATAGCATTCACCATGATATGCAGCATAAGGGAAATCAACTGTAGCACTGAAATAAAAAGAAATTGATCCAAGGAAAGCAAAGACTTATTTGTGTTTAAAACATAAATTCTTTGTAGCCTTTCAATGTGACATGAAAACGAAAGAGGCTTACACTGATGCTGCACTTTGATATTGACTGGTTTCCGCCCAGGCAATACTGACCGGGCCTATTAAAACTGGAAATTTCAAAGATTTTTACATGAGGTAAAAACTGTCCTCCAACATGTGCTCAAGATGGCAGCGCTATGCAAGGTAAGCTTGAATTTATGAGTTAGTTTTTTTCACCATAAGTACCATTTGTCTGGTTTTTTTATTGGATAACCCATTTCAGACAAGGGAAAATCAGGTAGCTGTAAGATTTAGAACTGTGGGAGTAAAATTTCAAAGAATTAATAACAAGTTATTCCTTAGTGTTACATAACACTTGTACCCACCAAAACCTGGCAGTATTTTACGTCACTATACTGCACATTTTTTTTGGAAGACTTTAATGATATTTGGACAGTGAATATGTGGCATTGATCCTGGAAGATTCTCCAATGTTCTTTTTGATGTCAACTCACTAATTCCTCATGCATTTTTGCAATTTTCTGCGCTCAAAACTTGACTTGAAACTAAGCACCTTGCATAGTCAGTAGCAGGTTTACTACCATCCATGGTATGTTTACTACCGTCCACTTCGTTCATGTGTTCCAGGAAAAGGAAAGATATGGGATGAACTATTCACTAAACTGAGGTTCAATGAGAAGCACAAAGATCTCCTGTGGAGAGAGTTTTGGACTCTGCTAAACCAATACCCTGAACTTCCTCACAGCCAGAAATTACGGACGTTGCCACATATTTAAGCCTATTCTCCATATGACTTTCAGATCAATCTGGACAATCATATGGAATTCAGGTTTTAACCTGACCTTTTTCTACTTAACATGCAAGGTTTAAATTCAAAATAGTTTTTACGAAATAAAAACAAAATATTAAATGATTTAATAATAAATCGTTTAATATCTTTTGTAATAAGAAAATAACATTACGTAAAATAAATTAAAAGTGTGAGTGTAACGTCAAGTCCAATCCTGTTTTAATGATGTTTGCTCAAACCTCTAATATTCTGACAATTCTCTAGTTTTTCGTACAGTTTCAGTACAGTGATAATGTAGTTAGTCCTATCACTAATACATAGACGGGGCAAATGCTCACTCTCAAGTGACGAGAATACGTATTTGCTTCTTTCGAACTTTGTCCATTCTTTTGTAGATGCCACTATCTTCTGATCAAAGTATGCTTATACGGTGAGATATAGTGCCATCATGTCACAAAATGACAAAAATCATTTAAGAATTTCACATGAAAAATGCATTAAGTCGTTGCAGTTTTTGAGCATCAACGTTGTGGGATTATTGAAGTTCACACACAGTCAGTAGGGAAGTGGTCTTGTTAGGGATCGCTTGATTTCCATAAATCACGCAGTGCTAACAGCCATCATTTTAATCAAAGGAAACTATAAAGAAGTCATGGATACATTGCTTACAAAATGAAGAAGTCTCCTTTGATCAGCTACTATATGCTTGACCGGGTTTTGAAGATAACAAGGTCATGAACAAAGTCAAAATAACTCGGCCCTTGAAGCACAATATATACAGGATTTTTTTTGTTACAATTTAAACGTTTATCCCACTCCAAAAATTAAAATAATGAACTATTTCTGCTTAACACCTGTGTGGTCTTTACAAATTTTGGGGAACACCTTGACCTTTGGGATTTTTGCGTTACGGTAGATAATTTTGTTAATATCCAGTTTTGTAACTGCTTTTCTTACTGTTTGCTGCAAGAAAGTTTTGGTTGGATACTATGGACTTATACGTTGTCCTACTTATGTTTCCAATTGGTTTGTTTTGTTTAGTTTTGGTAGGATTGATTCATAATTTTGCTGATATAGTGCTAGCCTGAGAATGCTAGAAAGTTCGCTCATAGTTTCACTCATAAGATTCAATCACAAATTAAGGCTTGCTATCTAGCCAGATGGAAGTTATAAACTCCCTTTGACCTTAGAGGATTGACGAGCCAATGTCTCAGTAAGTTCAAAGACTCTTTGCAGTCAATATCTACACACAAGGTTAAACCTTAATTCTTTCAAACAGCTACAAGCAATGACTCTGTCAAACCTGGCGAGGGAGAAGGGACCTAACAAAGTTTTACACAAGGAGGCTCTGCCTGAAGGTCCAAATCCTTTCCCTTTTGTATAGTGTTTTTTTTCCAGAAAAGGTTACTCTTTCATACACATGTAGCTTGCAGCTTGAAACCCCTTTCACATACCTACAGTAGACCCATTACATCTCTTTTTGTGGATAAATTAGCAATGAATGTTTAAAATCCCTGCCTCTTTGTCACACCTCCCACCTGATAAAAAACTGCACCTTAAGTCAACTATTGGGAGTTCCCCCAGCGTGATGCTATACAAAATAAGAAGTGTATGGCAGATTGTAATGTAGACAGTAAAATAACAATAGTTTTCTTTCTTGGAAATGGAAATCACAGTATTATTTTCCTATCTTGGCAATTGTTTGTGTTAATTTCACTAGCAGTGCAGAAATATTCAAAATGATTGTTGAGAGGTACAATTAATATTTATTTAAGTTTTGATTCCAGTTGTTTACATATCTCGTTTCTAGAAGATTAATAAAATTATACGTACATCACCAGCCACTATGTCTGTTTGACATGGCTTGTGTTTGACATGATTGGACAGCAATCTCTCTCACAAAAAGTAGATCTACGCAGTCTCTCAAATGGTAATTTTTCTAATATCTGTCACTTAAATTTTAGGGCATATTTACTAGATTGTGGATGCTGACTTGTATATCATTCATGAAGAAATGTTCACTCTGGTCAAACTGCATAGAGTGACAAAATGTGGTGTGAAGAACAACAAAATTAAAAGATAAAGCAATATGAATTTTTTGCTGGACGTAAGCTTATTTTTAAATACAAATGAAATCACGGGTTTCAAATTTAAGATACGAGCACTGAGTGCTTTTTGATTTTGATGTGACCTGTGACCTGCAAAAGAAACTTGCCATAAGGTAGGCAGCTATGTTTACTTAAGGTATCAGTACATCCCAAATAACCATCATTCGTTAGTGCTGCTTTAGTCAGACGATTGATGCAAACCCCTGTAAAGTATATATTTTCTGAAACCTTAAGAATTGTAGATTGTGTGCTTTCTACCCCCTAGGGAGGATCACAGAAATTCTGAGGGGTAAGGGGTCTGAAAGAGGTAAATTTCCGAAGGAGATGTAACAATGTTAATTAATGCACGTTCAGTTAATTTATAGTTTAGGTTACATCCGGGATCTTAGATGTGTTTGCTCGCTTCACTTGATGTACACTCAGCTTACAAGATCAAACATTGTGTTTAGATGTTCTGGTGCTTCGTTGTCTGTCCTAGAGAATACGTTACATGGTGTCAGAAGTGAAAACCGGTTTCTACATTTGTTGCCATCGAGGAATTACCGCTCAGTGTACGGGAAAGCGTTCTGGAAAGAGATTTGTTCGTACACACGTGGTTGAGCAACTCTGATCTGCAAACTGTTATTCCAGAGGATAGTCTCTGATCTCTACTGTTTTCTGCAATAGCCACTCGACAACTTCTTCACAAAGAATAGTGGAAGACAACGGTGAGTGGAATTTTCTTGTGTTTTCAGAAGGAACTCTCTGCTGAAAAAATCTAGCTAACTTCAAAATACTAAGCACGCCATCGAAACCCGAGGGTAGCGGCGCATCTGTGCAAGTACAAGAAGCCTTCGCACAACCACATCTGGTACAAATCCCGATAAACATCCCATTGCCCTCAAAACTAGAGCTCACAGGAGATTTGGCGATGAACTGGAAGAAATTCCACCGTGCTTGGAACAACTACGAAATAGCTGCACATCTAAAAGATCCTGAAAACCCTACTGTAAATAAATTGCTGAGAACCGCCACACTATTAACCTGTATTGGCTCAGATGCTCTAGATGTGTGCAAAGGCTTAGAATTTGAGAATGAAGACAATAAGAAGGACATTGATATTGTTCTCC